GAGGTCAGAGGTGCTGCCGTGCAGATGACTGGCTTGGTGCCAGAGCCCTGTCAGACAGGAGGCTGAGGACATAAGGGCTGAGCTGGGCCCTCCTGCTGTAGCCCTATAGCATAAATTCCTGCGTGAATGCAAGAGCTGAGCCCTCAATAAGCTTTTTGGTTGCCGTTACTGCTGCCTCACCAGAAAGTGCAGTCCCAGACCTGGAATCCTCCACTTGTTAGAAACCTGCTTCTAATTTCTAGTTTATTTCTGGCCCTTTTTGTATACCAGTGTTTTCCTCTAGCCTAAATAGCTCGTCTCCCTTCTTAGTCAGAACAAGCACTCCCTGATGTCCTGATGGAGAGCTTTCTTCACCCATCTTTGGCTGCTAGGAGGAACAAGCCAAGCTTTCTACCCTCTTCGTATTAAAAGGGTTCTCTATGCCCCTGCCTGGACTTGTGTCCCCCCACCGTGACTATTACCAGGGCTGCTGCTCAGGTCCAACACATATTCCCACCTATTTTTTTTAAAGCAGAAGTGCCAACTAACTACAGCACAACAGGCAATCACATTCATTTACCCTCAAGGAGTAAAGATCTGGCTAAGGAAAAACACCATTTGTTCAACCATGGTTTGCTGCATCAGCTGCTTTGTTGCATGGAGTCAGTAACGCATCCCACCACTTTGCTAAATGCCGTCATAGGACAGCCTGGTAGAGGATGCAGGCAGTTTTCTCTTCAGCAACACCTAGAAAAGGTACAAGAGAGACCAAATGCTTATTTGAGGGTTAGCTCACCTGTGTGCCAGCCTTGTGGCTGCGCTGCAAAAAGAAGGGGGAGTGCTTAGCTGAGGGGGCTGAACATTGTCATGGCTTCATAGGTGAGTCACTGCCACCTGTGGATCCTCTCTGAAGACATTTTGGGACATGAACTATTGGTGCCTACAGGGGAGGAACCTGCGACACAGCTGTGATGTCAGCTGGGCATTTGCACTTACCTGTTGCTTTGAGCAGTATCATGATCTTTGGCAAATGTGAGCTCTGCAGGAGAGGCACTGAAGTCTTCCTCCCCAAAAAGTTCCATAAGACCTGTTCTAGCCTTCAGTCAGGGAAAAGGACCCTGATTAAAATCTTCAGTGGCTTTGATAAGCATCCGTCACCAGCACCCGCCTGTTCTTCTGCAGGAGGAGACACTAACATAAGCAGCACACACAAATGTAAAACTGCTCTGGAATTTTAAAAAAATGCAACCAGGCAGTGGTCTAACAGGCACCAGCCTACAGATCGTTTTTAGTGTATAAGCAATTCAAATAACTCAAAATGCCACAATTAGATGCTATTAAAAACATATGTTGGATAATTAGGCTGTATTTTAATTAAACATTAGTTTATCCTATTTGTTGAACTAATTATGATTCAAGCACAGGAAAGTTCGGAACAGTGGATTCAACATGCCCCTGTGTGATGCTGCATGATTCATTTTTCAAGTCACCTAAGTGTTAGTAGCCCACTGGAGTGACAACGCAGCAGCCATTGACCCAGGAAACTGCTGGCGAAATTGTATTTACATGCTAAGAGATCCTTCATTTTGGGGGGAAGCAGAACATAAGGCAGCATTCATGAGAGATGTAATACATAACAAGGATTGCTTCACAGTCTCAATTTTCCACAATAACTTTTCACCCATTGGCTGCTGTGAGCAGTCCGTATGATTCTCTTGCTTTCACCACCCCAGAGCAATCAGAGTTACTGGACTTTGGTCGCTGCTACACACTTACCCACTCGCTAGGCCCCTCCGCAAATCTTTGAAGTTGTGGCCCAGGAGGCCAGGCTTTTGCAACCTTTTCTGCAGTTGCACAGCTCAGCACAGAGCGGAGTAAATCCCGCTGGGCGCCGTGCCAGGACACGCTGTGCCCGGTTGTAAAAACAAGCTCCCTCCCAGAGGGAGTGTGCAGGAGGGCTGCCTGGAGCAGGGTGCAGCTCGGGGCACCCTGCGCTGCCAGGCTCCCTCCCGATGTGCCAACATACCCTCCTGCCATCAGCAGAACCCATGGTTTAGGACAGTTTTCAGCAAAATTTTTCCGTGTGTAGCTCGTGCACTTGACTGTTTGTTAAAGATCTTCTGGTGTAGTTCTTTAATCGGCAGGCATGCCTTGCTGCATTGATTATCTGTCTCCTACACATCTAAAATCACTCACCTGAAAACTCTCCACATCCATGTTGTTATGGGATCACAGCATCCCTGCACAGCGGAGAGGGAATGACACTTCACAGGTATTTTGTCAACTTCTGACAGCTTCAGAGCACAAGTTCCAGTGTCGGTAAAAGCAAACAAGCAGAAGACCTGAGACTTAAAAGAAAATGAGGGAGAGGCAGAACAGTCAATAACAACTTCATAGTTAAAAAATTAGAGCATTTTTTGGTACATGGACACCCACCACTACATTATCACTAGAACAGCCCACATTTCACAGTGACACCTACAGCTGCATTTGATCTCCCCATCACAGGTTTCCTCGCCAGCTGTTCAGCTATTCCCATTTTTTCAGGGGAAGACTGAAGCATGATGACATCTCCTGTTGCTCTCTGGGGACTCTGGGATGTGTGTGTTCGTGTGTGCAGATGTGTGTGTACATCTGTCTATCTCTGTTCTTTTGCTGCACCTGCCCAAGGCTTGGTGGTCTTTGTATGCTTTTTCCCAGGAAAAAGCTTCTGATGCCTTTCTGGCCTAGTCTGAAATGGAGACAAAGCCACGTGCAGTTCTTGGCTTGGCATATAGCTATCCTAATGATACCGTGACCCAGGGAGGAAACCCATCCAAGAGACATCTGCATCTTTATCACATGACGGACGCTGCTTTTGGAATGCCAGATTAGCATAATTTGACTGCAAGAATATCAGACACCCTTCATTAGCTCAAAGCTATTTCTGAAGAGCTGCTTGTGGTTTGCTTTTTTTCCTTAAAATATGTTTTTCCTTTGGAATTTGGCTCTCCATATCCAGGGCCATCATGGCTCCAGCACATCAGATGACTGCAGTCAGCCTGCTGACTTGGAAGGGAAGAGCACTGGCTGTGCTCCATGCCAGTGATGAACCTCTTTGTAGGGCGGTTCAGAAGAAAGGCACTAATGGTTGACGTGAGTGTCTACAGAGAAAAAGGCACTAACCATACTGTTCACGCTGACTACTCACACATCACCTAACATTAGCATCTTTAAATTATCACTCAGATAAAAACTACTGCTGACTCACAAGTCATTAAAACAAGGAGAGCCATGCTGAGGTGGGATGTCTTGAGGCTCCTCAGCATTGGCTATGAACTGTATTGCCTCCTAAATGCCACAGCCTCTGGGTACCTGCTCTTATCTTCAGCAAGCACAGGACTGAAGGAGCAGGCCCTTGTCCTCAAAGGACAGCCTTTGAGGCCCTCAGAGATCCCCAAGCCACCGTGGCTGACTTCGTGGATGCCGCGCCCCAGACTTGGCTGCGTGGGGCAATATGTCACAGATGTAGATGAGCCAGCTCAGGTCTGGAAGCCAGGTTCCTCAGCTACAAGGCTTTGTGCCTGATCAAATGTGGCCAGCCTTGCTTCTGGCCTCTGGTGGGGAAGGCTGCAAGCCCCTACAGCTCAGGAAGGTGCTAGTTCAGGGCCTGACCCCACAAGTCGACTCCCCGATGCAAGTCAAACAGGGTGGTCTGTCTGCTGGGTCGGAGCCTCTACATGCGCACTCATCTCGCAGGCAGCCTGCCTGCACATCTCCCATCTCTTTGGGAAACAAAGCAACCAACATGTTTCAGCCTACAGCACCATTTCCAGGGAACTATAGTCATTTGTTCAGTCCAAACTCAAAACAAAACACCACCACACGTGCTATTCATAAGACGAAACCATACCTGAGCGGAGGTTTGAGGACTTACACAAAACGTCCAGCGGGTAATCCCATCAGGCAGCCCCAGGGCAGGGCTTCTTGAGGCACCACCGTGGGTGATGGCTACAGCTCAGGAGAAACAAAGCTGCTGTGGGGACAACCTGACTTTGGTTAAGTTGCATTGAACTAAATCGATTCTTCAAATTGAGGTAATTTTTAAAAAGTCATTTTTAACAGTTATTCCTGGAGGGAGCAAGGAGAAGAGGGGGAATAGTTTATCACTGTCTTCGTATTTAACAAGTTTGGGGGTTGGAAGTGTTGGGGTATCTGCTGACACTAATTTCTGTGATGAAGCAACTGCAGGCCATACTTGAAGTGTGGGAGGAGAAACGAAAGTTATCCTCATCCTTATCCTCATTTTTTGTTGTTTTATCTTTTGGTCAGGACATGTTTTTCACTCAGGAAAGGTTTTAATTGGGGACAGATGAAAGAAAGAGAGGGCACGTTCATTTATTTATTTTCTGATAGACCATGAAAAAAAATTGAGTGGTTAAACCAACAAACTTTCTTTAATAAATAAATAGCAGCATCACAAAACCCTGATGTGAATGACCCAAAGGAAGTTGGGTAAGTGACAGTATTTAACCATTCACAAAAATGTGATCACCCGCTGGCCGGGAGAGAACGCAGGCGCTTGTCTGTTTATCCAAACAAGTGACATACATCAGAATGGGTCCAGCTGAGTAGCCACAGTTGACGTATTTACAGTCCTGGTGCTGAATTTTTTAAAAACATTTATAAAAATTCTGTAAATTCTCTGTTCAATTCCCATTATTTACATCCAAATAGAGTAGGTTCCCTTTTTGCCCATACAACAGAACCAGCAAAGGTAAGACATGAAGGCTCCTATATGAAGAGAATGCCTGTGTGTGGACTTATATGGAGTTTGAGGATGCTGTGGAAAATGAGCTATTCACACATATGCTAGAAGCTACTGTAATTCAACTTATTGCTAAATGCTTTCAAAGTCTGTGGTTGGCTTTTAAATATGTATATATGTATATATATGTACATACTCACACATATATATACACACACATATACATGTTTGGAAAAGATGAGCTATGAATTCACCCAAGGAAAAAAAGAACTTAAAAAGCAATGTGATCTTTCTGATTTTTCTGTACTGTTTGAGATAAACAAATTTGACTTAGAGCAAAGGGCAGTCACTGAAGGCACAAGTTTGTGTCTCTGGCCAGTCCTTTTCCTACTGGTTACCAGACCTTTTTGGAGAGGCAAGTGGATTCCTGAGCATTCAAGCCCGTGGTGGTATCAGCAGGCTGGCACATGGTGCATCTCTGCTGCCTTCTGCAAGCAGTAAGCTACACTCCACACCTGGATACCTCGCCTGCCTGTATGGAAGTACTATGGGTTTTTCCCAGGAGGAGATGAGGGAGAAGAGAGGACCATCAACTTCAACACATCAAGCCAGGTGCAACACAGCAGAAGATGCAACCCGTATGTTGTGTTTCGGTAGTGGCCTCAGCGAGGTTGTTGCTGTACACGGCAATGCAACAGCACAATGTTATGCTAAAGCACTAGCAGAATTTTCCATTTCTTCTACAAGTTAATTTTGGTGGGATGAACACAGCAAGCTTAGAGTATAAGCAGTTCATGTTAGTAAAATGCAATTTATCCATGCCTAGTGTAAGCTTTTCAGTTCTAAGGATTTTCATAGTCAGAGGCTGTCAGTGATGCTAAATGCATCCATGTTAGATGGGCACTGCAGCATTTGTGCATTAGTTAAATGAAGATGTAAAAACCTTATGGGTGATATCTGGCATTAGGCAATACTCTACACAAGGAGAATTGCATGAGAGGCATCACCCCAGAGGCACACTGCCAGACAGACACGATGCCTTGGAGGGTTTGTCTACACAGGAACACAGAGGAAAATTAATTCAAATTATACATGCTGTGAATTAAAAGCAGATTACTTAAACTGTATTAAATCCCAATATGGGTGCTTTCATTAAGATGTAAGCGGTGTTAATATGATATACTATAATTGACTTTGGGAGTGAAATGGAATAAATAAAATTTAAAAGTTAATCCAGATTAATCTTCCATGTAGACCAGCTCGAGGTCTGCTTCCTTCCTGTCCCTGGTCATCGTTTGCTTTTGAACCACATCACCAGCAAATGATTCCAGTCACATGCTCTGTCCAGCTCTGCCCACCTCCTCCTGAAACAGGGGAAATGAGCCGGGATCCTCGTTCATGCCTCTCTCCAAGCATACTCCAGGGAGGTGTATCCTGTACCTCACAGCCTGACCCGACCAGCATCGCACACAGAGCAGCTTCTGCTCTACACCCAAAGCAGTGTTTTATCACCAGCACTGCAAGTCCCAGGATGTTGAAAAACAAAAGCAAATGCTAAACAAGCTAAGGAATAAATAGATGTGAGGACTGAGAAGACAAGAGCCCTTACAAAGCCAGAGAGCTCTTCTCCAGGTCAGCCAAAGACCCTGATCATCCAAGCAATCTGTGAAGGCAGTGCCATCCACACTGAGCACAGCTTGCTCCATCCCAGAGCTGATGATTATCTACAAGGCCAAAGGAGGGCTTTTTATAAATCTGAGGCCCTCCATTTATAAAATGGTTGAAGCAGATAACTGGCGTTCGCTTTGTTTCTCATGCTTCTTCTCCAAGTGTGCAAGTGATCCCAGCCAGGATCGCAAAACCACACCAGAACTGCATTCCCCACCTTCCTTAGGGGAGCCGGAGCCTCCTGGGGAATGGAAAGAAAACAGCAGGATTTGAGAGGGATTTAAAATTTAACAGAGGTCCCTTGAAGTGCAAGATTGCCCCAGTATGGCAGCAAGCCACTACCCGTAAGAGGACATGTCTGGCCAGGTGCCTGCACAGCTGCTATGCTTTCATGATGTCTCTCTGCCAGGTTTCTGTACGGTCTTTACACAGCACAAATAGGGGTGAGGATTTAAAGTATATATTTACTGTCAACTTGAAAAAGAAAGTTATACTGACCAAGTCTAATAGCATGTATTTGATATATAACTATTAACGTGCCATTCTGGACTCCAGCAAATGCCACCTGAGATAAATATTCAGCATTTTTGTTCATGCACTGGAAGAAGAATTCAAACATTTTGTCCATGACATATGCAAAGTAACTAATAGTTCTGATCTAGTATTAACAGTAAATATAGAACCTTAAACTTCACTGCAGTATATTAATATATATGATTTTAAGTACTGGACTGGAAAGACAACTCTTTTTTTTCTTTAAAAAAAAAGAAGCTTTGTTCAGAATGCAATATTTACATTGTCCTTTGACCAACACTTAACTTTTTTACACAATATATTTTGGCTACAGATACACTGTAGCAAAAGACTGTGTGAGCCACCTTTACACACAGCTCACTCTTTCACTTACAACATTACAGCTGTTTATGGAGAGCTCTGAAGTCCCTGGTTGCATTTCAAGGCCCTCCTCAACTTCATCTAGTTCCATGCTATTGAGTTCATTGCCATTTCGATAACTAGTTAAAGTCAGATCTTTCCCATATAAAGCTGTTGAAGCAACATTCAGACACTGATTCTGCCGCAGCGCTGATTTTTTACTGGTCTTGTATTGGCAACGGATGTAATTGGAAAAAGCCCTGCGGTATGTTTTGTTGAAGAGTGTGTATACGAGGGGATTAATCCCAGAGCAAACATACCCCACCCAAACAAACACATCAAGGAGTTCACTCAAGAGGTCTTTATCACAGGCTTCCTTGCAAAGGACAGACATGACATTAGTGATGAAAAATGGGCACCACATGATGAGGAACAAAAAGAAGACAATGCCCAGGACCTTGGAGGCTCTTCGCTCGTTGTTGATGGACTGCATAGTTCCTTTCCGAAAAAGCACTGCCTCCTTATTTACAGGAGAGTTCAAGTGAGATGCTCCCTCATGATTGTGAAGCATTGAAATGTTCTCTGTGTTGTTTTCCTTCTTGAGGCAGTTTACGCTGCTCCTCCTCTGCTTGGGCACCTCGCCACACATGAACACCGTTGCCTGTCTCTGCAGCACCTGGACGGTCAGGCAATATGTGATCACCATGATGATGAGAGGGATGAAGAACGCCATGAAGGATCCAATGAGGACGAAGTTCTCATCATTGAGGACACAGGTCCCATTTACGAACACTCTGGAGTCATCCTGCAAACCAATGACCGGAATGGGCATAGATATCCCTAGAAGAAGGAGACCAAAAAAGAGACTGTTACCTGGATCGACAGGGCTCCAAAGAGGCAGCAGAGATGACGCAGGTCCTGCATGCATTCAGCCTGCTGCCTAAAGCTGTTCAAAAGAAAAGTTCCTACTCCCAGATGGAAGGGAAAACCTCATGTAACAACACTCCTGGGAGTACAGCTCCAGGGCATGAACACTCTTGGCTGGGAACAGCTGCAGCTTTCCTGCACTCCACAGCTGACACAGCAAATGCAGCGTAACTCCTTTATTAAGTTCTTTTTCTAGCATTAATTGTGATTTGTGGGTGTAGAAAGGGCAGTCATTATCCTGCTCTGTTCCAGCTGGCCACTCCATGCCTGCCATTTGGGGGGGGGGGGGGGAGTGCTTGAAATCACTGACATAGGGTAGATAGTAGGAAATTTTAAAGAGGAAAATTATCAAAATGCAAAAGAATTACAGCTATAAAGATTTAGAAGCAAGTTTCTTAAAGACATTAAAATAATCCTGATAGAAAAATGGCCACTTTTTCCATGGCATCACGGACCCATGGAAGAAAAGCTCCTGGCTTTCTGGGTCCTTATCAGCTACTTTAGTGCAAGCAGACGGTGGTCTCTACAAGCTCTGCCTGCCCAGGCATTTCATCCACAAGCAGGGTGAAACTTAAAAGTACCATAAAGACAGTCTTGCTTGAATTCTTAGAGGAGGCAATTACAGAGTCAAATGAAAAGGCTGCCTGATTCCTATCCCTCTGTCTTGAATACAGGGCTAAAAACTGGAACGACAGACAACATGAAAGTAGAAAGGTGTAACTAAAATGGTAATCAGATTGACATGACAGTCTGAAATCAGAACCCCAGCTACAAACCCTCTGGCTGAAAGGAAGGAAACTTTAAATGACTCAATTATAATAATAACTAGAGCACAGCTTCCAGCTACTCCTAAGCTCTAAGGAGACTAATAAGCCTCGGGAATCACTGCACTTGCCAAGGCAGTTTCTCTTGTATCCTGGTAGCACAGCACTTTTTACAGTCATGGACTTAAGGGCAGACAAGTGAGATTAAGAACACTTTGCATCCCTTTTCCTCTTCAGCATCATCTAGCACAGCTTGTTAGTCCAGGATTTCAGGACATCAGGCCTTCCTGAAGCAGAAGCAGGAGTCCTGCATGGAGGATCTCTGCAGACGGCTATGTGTCCATGCTGTTTGGCACACAGGCCGAGCAGACAGCATGTCAAGCCCGGAGCACAACTGTCCAGGACTGCACATAGTAGTCTGCACACACGGCTAGCCGCTGCCTTATCTCTTACAGAGTGAAGGAATGAAAGAATGAAAGCATTTTGAATAGCTCTAATTCAGATGCATTTACTTAATGTCCTCCAACACTGTTTTCCAGGAATATGTATCTGCATACCAGCTCTATTCTAGCTTGTGAAAGTCATCAGCAATTTACTGTGGGGACAGAAAGAAGAGGGAATACAGTACTCATGCCAGAGTACTGGATCTCACTGGAATATTTTTCATGTGTACTGAGATCCAAACTTTGTCCCTTGATCTGTGGAGCTCAGTCCCACACCAGGTCAGACCTGAAACCTTCCAAAGAAATCTGTCTAGACACAGCCAAAAACCACCAAAAGCAACAACATATTTTGGAATATCACAACCTATGTGTGAGAACGTGGAAAAGACATGGTGGGCCAGATCTAGTTAGACCATCATGGGTTCATCTAGCCCTGTCTCATGTCCTTGGCAGGTACCAGATGTTTAGGGCCATGGTACAAAATGGGGCAGCTGTCAGCATTATAGCTTAGAGAATTCCACAGCAAGAAGTTGGATCCACACCTTGTTTTTAAAATAACCTTTGAGACCTATCTTCTGTGAATTCTTGATCTCATTTATAACTCTACAATACTCAGTGGCATTCAGTTCCACAACCTATCTGTTTGTCATGTGAACAAAGTGTTTCTTGCTCATTTAAAATTTGCTGCCTGATAATTTCCTCTGACTCCCCTCAGTTCCTCTACTGTGAGAAACAGCGAATAATCACTCTCTGGTCACCTTTTCCACCTTCTCAGTGATTTTATAGACCTTTATCACCCCTATTGTCTGACATCTCTTTTGGAACTGAAGAATGATATTCTATTTACTCTCTCTCCTCATGCCAAACTCATTTTATGCCTTTGATTATCTTTCTCCATTTCTTTTCAAACTCCTCTCTGTCCTTTTAAAGAAGGGGAAAAACCTGCACATCCCAGCGTTTAGAGTGCAGCAGAATGTCTTTTGTTCTTTGCTTCCTACCCTCTGGCCGCCTGGCTGTCAGTGAGCACTCACTCACAGACATGTCTGTGGGGCTGCCCATTTCCTTCCTTAGCTCCTTCACCCAAGAAATAACCAATGCAGAGGCTACTGTTGTGTCAGGATTGCTTTTTTGGGGTTGCTGTGAATAGCACAGGTCCTAGAACTAATCCTGTGGGACTCTGAATTTCTAAACAGAAAGAGTAACATGCTGAAGAGATTAACCAGGGCATTTTTCCCACTCCAGGCAAGTGTTTCCAGGATTCTGGAGAATACATCTGCAATATGTCATTACCATAAAATTACCATTTGCCAGTAATCTAGTGAAGGAATTTCTTCTGAAAAGTAATGATTATAAATGCCTTCTGTGATTCCTTAGCCCAAGTGATAGTTCCAGGATTCGGTCTTCTTTCCCTCTACATGATAATGTTTATCAGTTTACACTTGCCTCCTTTCTGATATGTTAACCCCTGTTAGCTTGCCTGTGCCAAATCCCTGTGACTGCAATAACCTTCATCCCATCAAGCCATTGACCCTTTATTGTTAAAGACATCTTTCTAATGCCTTGGCTCAATCAAACCACAGAGGTGGACAGAGCAGTCTTTGCACAAAGAAGAGATCTTCATTAGTTCAATGGCATTACACTGGGATTATATCTGCATGGATAATTTTATGCTTTAGAGCCCTCTATAACACATACTCTTTGAAATAAAACTCCAAAATGAATAAAGGTTCATTCATGAAATAGTCATAATTGAATTTAGTGTTATTGCTTTAGCCAAGGGAAATGAGATGAGGTTTTAGGATATCTTCATGGTCACACACATAAAGTACATTTGGGAAGAATAACCTAGTTCTGGGACATAATGAATATACAAATCAAGAGCACTGATGGCAGCCTAAAACTCTGCATGAGCATGAGATACCTCAGCATTGATGACAGGGAATGAGGAGGTAGCTGCTGTAATGGAAAAGTGTCCCTCGCCTCTCTCATAACAAAGTGGGATTTCAAGCTGAGAAAGCACAGAAGAGAGAGAGCACCAGGTCTTTGTTTGCTCTTTCCTCCAATCCAGGAAAATCCCATCGTTAACAGCAGTAGGAAGAAGGATGCCCTCGGAGGAGCTGCCAACACACATTCATTCAGCTGCCAGCTAGCCTACAGCACTGCTGAACGGGCAGCATTACCCTCATCTCAAACGCTTTCTTCTGCCTCACACTTCTCTTTTGTAACACATTCTTTAATATGAGATTTACCACTGATCTACTCCACAATCCAGCCCTGAAGGGAACTAAGTCTGTTAGACAACTTGGGCAACAGGGACTAATTCTACATCACCCCACTAGTGAGAAATGAAGTGTGGAAGGTCTCAGACACCCCAGAGGGGCTTCCTTCATGGGGTATTACTGCAAAATTGCTACTGCCACAATCCCAAATGCACAAATATCTGCTTGCAGACACAGCTCACACCCTGGCCCTGATTTCAATAGGGTTACCCTGATCAGTACATGCTGTGCTTATCACTAATCATTCCCATGGCACCTCTACATGAGTAAGCATGAATGCCTGCCTTACTTGAGTTCAGCTGTTTGAACAAGCACGGAGAAGGCATTCAACTCCACTTGACTCAAGCAACCCACAATACTAACACTGCAGTTGTAACTGTTCATAATTTAAGAACTGAGGTCAGTTGGTCAGAGAAAGCCAAACTCACTACACCAGCACAAGGACAGTGAGTGTTAAATCAGGCAACAGGCTCTGAAGCCTACTGCTGTCCAGCCTTACTGCTGTTCAGCTCTCCAAGCCCCAGTGCAGAGCGTTTCATGAGCTTTTGCCTTGCAGCTGAGCTGTCACACTCTTCATCAACAAACGTCAGGCTGATTTAGTGAGCTGAGGTCTCCAGCCTCAGAAGCATTTTCCAGCTGTGTCAAATAACCCTTTCTAACTAAGGTGGCAGCAAATTCCCAAAGAGAGGTGGCGTTGTTCCAAAAACTTGCAAGGTAAAAGTTTTGCGAGCTTATTGCATATCACTCTTTGCTCTTCAGAGCAAACTTGGTCCTCTTGCTTGATGTCTGAGCAGTGCCTAGGGCAACTGGTTTTGCCCCAGTAAGAAGAGACAACCAGCCACCACCAGCCAGCAAACCATGAACCATGGCCCTGCTAGACTCAACACTGAGAGCTCTGTGCAACCTTCTGCCAGTCAGCAGCTGGAGCAGGACATCCTTTTTCACCACAGCAGTTCACAAGGGAGAAGATGAAAGTGATTTTTTCTCTTCTGTCCTCCGTTAGCTTCTGTCTGACAGAGTAGCGGGAAGCAAGACAGAGGGAGATCCTCTGGATCACAAATCCAATTACAGTTGTTGTCCTAACTGCTTCTTGTCAGCTTTAAAGATGTTCTTAAGCCAGCAGAATGGTTCATCAAATGGGGCTGAGATGATGCCATGGACACAGAGTAGCAGATGCTCTTCACAGATTCTCAATTAATAAAACAAACCCCAAATACCTACAAATATAGCTTTGTAAAACATTTACTGTCTTGCTCCAGAAAAAAAAGCTGGCTAAAAAGCCTAAATTGACATTCACAGAATTTAGACTTAAATGAAAAACAATAATGGTTTTGTGTTTAATATCCTGTTTTCTTCTGTGAAAGCCCATGAGACTGATAGAGATTACTGGAAAGATGGAGTCTTTGATGTTTATTTTCACTAAGAAA